TTTGTTTGGTACATTGTGAAAAAGTATTTCGTTTTTAGGGTTTGGTTTCTTATTGAGGTGCTCAAAAAGCATATGTATTCATCGTTACTTGAATCTTATACTACTTACATCGCAAAAAATAGTCAACATTGAGTTTTTAAATTTGTATTAAAAACAGTATAAAACTCAAAACTTAATGTGGATAATTTTTGTGGGACGGAAGGAGTATCTTTCTTGGTGATCAAATGTTGTTTGTTTGTTTTCAATAGTCTATCGAACCTTAAAATATCTAAAACTCAAATTTCGGAACTCATTTTCTTTGTTATTTTGAAATTATTATTTTCACATTATGAGTTTCTTCTTCTTTTTATACATTTATTTCCATATTTAGTTTAAATTGTATTTTTTGACTGAATAAATCCAAAAATAAACAAACCGAGATAGTTGTTCACATTGATCTGGTCAAATAAATCCAAAGATACTGCATATGAAATTCCTTGCAGAGATTGAAGAGAGAAACGTTGGAATTCGTTATTAATGTGTTTAGAGGGTATCGATCGATCAATGCTTGAAATTTGATTCTTATCCAACAAATAGATTGTGAGCAAAGGTTATTTAAAATGAAAAAACTTGCACCAACTTGATTACTGCTCAAGTTATGCAAATAAATTAATGGAAAGATCAGCTAGCTTCCCAATACATTTGTATTTTTAATTTATATCAACTTGGGCATCATGACAGACTCACGATATGGTCGTTATCGTCCCCCATTTAATTTTAATTCAGTTCCAATTATTCACTCATTCCCTCCAAAAATTACTAATTTCATGAACCTAGAATTACTAAGACCGGATTCTACATCATTTTCTAGATGGATTAAAAAATATAAACAAATTCGTTAAGTGTAATAAGTTAGAGAATAAGAAGACATCGCTAGCTTGAACAGATAAAATCCTTACTCGTACAATTCTATATCACACCATTTTTATGTAAAAAATCATTGCAATCTACAAAACTTTATTTGGATCATTGTCCATCCGAACCCCTCACAATTTTAAACCCTAATTTTAATTTTTTGAAGAAAAAAATATCAGTGATTTCCTTAAGAGACAGCAAGTACCCCACGTTCTTGCATGACCTATAACAACTAGTTCATTATCCTACTGAATTCCCCACAGAGAAAGACAATAATAATAATAATACCAAAAAACAAGCCACTGAGATTCTCTGAGCAAATATTAATGTATTAATGAAGATGGAGAAGTTGTCTTCCACAGAAAAGAAGAATCACAGAATTCAGAAGCATCCTCATCCCATGTGAACACCAACCTTAATTTAATCAATTATCAAAGACTAAATCAGAATGAGTAATTGATAAAATTAATCAATTTATTAAAAAAAGAAAAGAAAAGAAAATCATATTTACACAGATAATGACAACCATATATCTCGATGCTTACGACTGGTATATAATTTGTATTGATTCTATTAGCTACTGATTTGCGAAGCTGTGTTTTTAATTAATTAATTAATGGCTTCTTAAGACGTGCCTATGACACTGGTAATATTAGATAGCACGCCCGCAAGACAAATTGCCTCAGCAGCACCTCTGCTGACATCATTCGTCTACCTACCGGCCGCCTCGTTATAACTTGCGTTCACAATTACCATTCTTCAAATAAGTTAAAATACTAAATTATCGGAAATCAGATGATCGGTTTCACTTATTTATTTTATGTATTAACAGTATTTTGTGAGTTTAGTTTTGCTTATACGTAAAAAGTGCAACAATGTGAAATGATATGTAAAAGTATGTTGCTAAAAATATAGAATAGGATTGATATACGGTAGTAGTAATAATACAGACAATCTTCCCTTTCAAAATAAAAAAATAATACATACAATCTCATTCAAGCTACACATTTTGCATTGCGAAATTGACACTTGTAATTGATGATTAGTTTATGTGCTTAAAAATAATGTTTGTCCCCTGTATTATGTCACAATTAGAACCTAAATAAGCATGCTAAGCCAAAGTGGGAATCCACGTATTAGATTATTAGTTTCTTCAATTCTTGGCTGATTTGTCTCTGGTTTGTCATAACTCTCTCTCTCTCTTTATCTGTTCTTCGCCCGTTTTGCGGGTTCTTTGAAGATATTGATAGTGTAGATGGACCCTACAAGTGAAATAACTACTATTTTTGTTTAAAATTATCGTCCATTTTGAAACTTCACTTTTAGTATAATTTAAATTAAAAATGAATATTTAAACTGAATAATAATTATGGGACGGATGGAATAACTAAATATCTATTGCATATGGTAATCAGAACCTGCAAATCAGCATTTATGACCGTTTAATCTAATATTCCTTCCGTTTTAAAAGTGGGTGTATTGAAAAGAGTATTCATAAGTTTAATGAATAAAATCAAGAAATAGTTTACTTCTAGTACATATATTTTGACATTTTTCTCGTTAACTTAATAAAAACATGTAAAGTACCGATAATATGGGCTTAACTAGGCAGCTTATTGCAATTTGCAAAGAATGTAACTAAACCATTTTAACTAATACGCAAATATTTACTCTGTTCGAAAATGATTGTCATATATAAAAGTTAGTTTCTGGAAGTAAAATGGAAAGAACATAGAAAGGACAAGCCTGGTGTAATCTTTTCGGGGGCACTGGCGAATGACTGGCTTTAGGGGAAGTATAGTCACCTCCATTCTCTCAAATCTTCAAAAATGGTGGTGGGGTTAAATAGTGGCACTCACCACCATTGCCCAAAACTTCCGAACTTTTAGGCTTTGCAGCTGTTAAAGTTCTAGTGGCCTAGATCGAGCTCCCTGATCAAATCGAAAAACAACTACTAATTTACTACTAGCATTCTTTTCAAATTTCAGTTGGAAAAAAAAAAAAAAAATCGTGCAGACAATATTGTCAAGCTAGTTTGCATTTTCAGTTCTAGCTTAATAATAATTTTGGTACGGAGGGAATATTTATTTTATATTGGAATACTGGTTTCTGTATTGTTATGTGCTACTCTTGCTATATTACAGTAGAAAACAGTAAATTTATTTGAAGATGGTGATTGCATAAATACATGTCAGACTTAGTAACCTAAACCAAGCGAAAGAAACGTATTCAATGATTTATCATTAACTATGGTTACGTTTTTATGTTACTTGTACCGGTAACTGATTTATAGACGAGCAAAAAAAAAAAAAAATCTGTAAAGTTCGAAACTTTCTACTGTAAAAGAAAAATGTAAAAATTTGTGTATTAAGAAACTGAAAATAATAAATGGATATCGTATCTCACATAGTGTAGTTTGAGTTCAATTTTATTTGTTTATTATTTTGAATTTGGACTGCGGTCCTTACAGTATCGTCAAAAAGATCGGGGGAAGGAAGAAAATCATGAATGAAGGGGATCATGATGACATAATGACAATCTTCAATAATAATAAGTACAACTTGATTTGGAGACAATTAATGTTACGATTGCAATTTGCAACCTCGAGAATGTCAGTTAGACTAAAAACATGTAACTCCTTTATTGGACAAAATTAATCACTTAGGACTAAGGAGCTTTTGTAATAGTTTAATTAATTGAGGTTGCCCTAGGATTCTGTGGCACGTTGAACCTTTGGCATGTGACACAACAATTACACATTAACCATAAATACAACTTTACTTTGACAACAAAGAAGCTTTAAAAAAAGGTTTTGGCCTTTATTTTGGGGATTTCCTTCACGAGATCCCACGAAAAAAAAAAAAGAAAAAAAAAGCCTTTAAGTGCATTACAAGTTCTTCAATTAAAACCATAGTCATTCTTATACATTTATTAATTCTTTGAACTATAGTTTGGGGCATGTTTTGTTCCGGGAAAGTTGAGAAAAGCAAATTTTACATTACTGAAATTTTAATTTTGAGGAAAATATTTATTTTCCTTTATTTTTTTATTCTGAAGAATGTGATTCATCTAAATACTTTCTTGTGTTTGAATACATGCATAGAGGAAAAATATACTTTGCATGTGAGAAAAAAAAAAATTTCTTTTAACCACCTCAGCATCCTTTATTATTAAAAAAAAAAAAGGGGTGATTCAAAACATCAAAGAGATACCATCAAAGTTTAACTGCACGAACTAGAACCTTTTTCTCATAATCTACTACTTTAATTGTGTTGTCTTAAACATATATAAATGTATAAAATTTTAAATTTATAATCTAACAAAAATCATGCAATTTCGAATCAAGTTAGTGGTCATCTTCAAAAAAAAAAAAAAATCAAAAATCAAAAATCAAAAATCAAGTTAGTAGTCGTGTCTTTGACTCGGCATAAATGAATCTTTTCTATAAATACTTTTAATTGCAGAACGTAAAAACTGAATAGTACTCCCTCCGTCCCATAATTATTGTCCACTTTGCCCAAAAAATTTTGTCCCAAAATTATTGTCAAATTTGACTTTTTATGGATCAAGTTACACATTTGTCCTTAGTAAAAAACATTATCTATAAAATCTTAGTGGTTAAACAATTACTTATGTAGGGGTATATCCGGTTGTTTAAGGTAAAATATAGTTAAATTTGACAAAAAATAAAATCTTTCATTTTAATAAAACTGGACAATAATTATGAGACGGAAGGAGTACATTTTTTTTGTTTTGGTTAGTAAATACATTTTAAATTTGACGGCAGGGTGAAGAAAGGTCTTCCCGAAACTGTCAGAAACGAACAAAAGTATTCCTCTTAGCAAGAGCTGCTGAACTACTAGTGGAATCAAATAGTGCAGCAAATGCAGATTTACCATATTTTTATTCTATGGGTTGCCTTACTCTTAGTGTTGAATGTTGATGATATTAATGACGATTATTTTAAGTTGTGCGAAGCTGGTCCAGACGCAATGAGGCGACTGATCGCTTGGCCGAACCAGGAATTACATGGAATAGTAATTCTCAATTTGATCAGTGCCAATGAGATTGTCTCAAGTTATGTAACACAAGAAATTCATTTTTTTCTGGGTATGCTAATTTGGAGAAAGAGCATTTCTGGTGCGGGCTATTCTTGCCAGCATATATTGGTAATCAACAAAATAAATTTTTAAAAGACTTGATCAGTGGTTTCTTCCAACTGAGATGCTTATTGACATAGTATTAATTAAATTATGATCAATGCAAGAAAGAAGAAAAGGCTTGAAACTAGAGTCTCCTCTCACGCTCAAGTAAGTTTGATTCACAAGGTACTCTGTATCCTGGATTCTAGTTTAACAACCCATATCACCAGGGAATTTCCGAACCATCCCACGCGAAAAATTTACCATTGTCAGAGCTCTTGGCATTGTTGATGATGCTCAATAGTTTCTGCACTGAGAACTCTTTGGTAAAGAGCTTATCTTTGGAAACGTTTCTTTGAAATGGTCTCGATAGATCTGTATCCACTGTGCCTGGATGCAATAGCAAGCATATAACCGGGTCTTTCTTCCTCGCAAATTCTACAGCTGCCGTCTTTGTGACTGTCAAGTATCATAAGCAAGAAATTTAGAGCAATTTGTATGAAATATGAACCATTTGAAAAGTAAATAGGGAATCCTATTGGAGAGTCCACATCTTGTGGATTGTTATTAGGTATCGATAAAAAAAACTATACAGACTAAAACTCGGAGATTAGAACACAGCATCTATCCAGAAAGCTGCTCATGACCCATTATGTGCAAAAGATGAACAATGAAAGAGGTTAGGTTACTGTTTAAAAGGATCATTGGGTCTCACTGAAACAAAGTGGAACAAACATTTCCCTGTGATAATCTACACTTGGAGAGTTTTTCTCAGTTGCTCAGTGTTCAAAAGAAACTCAAGGACAGGGCCTACCGGAAATGCGACAGAAACAAAATTTAGATTACAGCTCGAGACTTGTTCAATATGATCTGCACATTCAAGGTCTAAAGAAGATAAAAAGCAATGCGGCTAACGAAAGGGTAAAACTAGAATGTCACTTTTATATCGTGCTTAACATTTATACAGGATAAAAGAATCACAAGGACACACACCAGCAGGAAAATTCATACACCGACAATGATCCTTAAAATCAAAGTAATTCAGGGTCTTTTTTAAATCATAACTTGTAGACAAAAATACAGCCATACTGTGTTTCCATACTTCACTGGTTGTCTATTAATTCAAGAAGCTTCTTTTAGAACAGATATCAACTGTAAGAAGTGGATTCACACTTTTGACCTTCCAGATCATTAGTCCTCTTTCTGAGAAGTATGGAGAAACAAATGGAACGTTTTGTTTTTGTTGTAAGAGATATGTGGAAAATGAGGTACTATTCACTTTGAATATCTTGGCAAGTGCAGAACAATAACTTTGACTTGGATATATGCTTCAACACGCAGAAACATACTTCAGCTTAGTCCTGGAACATTATTGGGACCATTAAAACTAAAGAACGAAATAACATCCCCAAACTGACGGCAAAAAATATGTGGAAAGTACTGTATCATTTTCAAAGTAATCACAAGGAACATATATAAGTTCAGACTTGCAGGGTTAGTGAAGGCACTAACAAGTTTCAAACTATGAGAATTGGGTTAAAACTAACTGCACTAAACAGAAATATACTCTGACAATGGGACATAATTTCAAAAATCTATCAATGGGTGTCTCCTGACTGAAGAGATAAGCAAGATTCTGTTCATATTCTTTCAAACTAAATAGCCCCCCCAAAAAAATATATATATAGAATAAAAATTCTCGTCCTGGAGAAAACTAAAACATGACGACCTCACCAAAAGTTTAAATCTAATTCCACAAGTGGTCAAAGGATGCAAAAAGGTACCAACATAATATCACAAAACCAAGAGAAGAAGAACAGGAACAAAAATAAAGTTCAGTCTTACGCTGATTCAGTGCAGCCTTTGATGCACGATACGAATGCCACCCTCCAAGTCCATTATCTCCTATTGATCCTACTCTGGCACTTAGATTGGCAACTATAGCAACATCTCTGCCAGTCCCCAAGCCTCCTCCAACCTTTAGCAGAGGCCATAAGTGCTGCCCAAAAACACAATAACAACTCAGACATTAGATGGTTGAATGCAAAATGGGAGCTGAGAAAATCCAAAATCAGACACAATGGAATCATTCAAGTCCTAATTAAAACAGTCAAACATTCACAAAACTGAAGACTTCATGTTTCATCATATTAATTTAATTATGCAATTGGGGTATCTGTTACAGTTCTTTACTTATGATGATTCACATTTTGAGGACCTGTCCCTTTATAAGCATTGGAATATGCTAAGATGCAGATGGACAAAATAAATTAAATGTAAATCTGAGAGTTCTTGCCAGTGCTGCTATTTTGTTCCTAACTTGACAAATTGGAAGGACGGCAACAACCAACAAATGTCCAAGCCAAAATACAGCTAAAAGAGAAGGAAAGAAGCAACTGGTAAAACCAATGAGGAGAAACACTTAGCAGAATATCATTTTTGGACTTCAAAAATCTCTCTTAAGAATGATTGCAAATGAATCTTTTCAAGAATTTTACTTTCTTCTTTCGTGGTCATAGAACTCTTTTCATTGATCTCGGGTATCAGAAATTCCACATTTCCTACAGTAATTTAACCTATGGAAAACCTTGAAACCCACAGCTAGGAATTTCTTTTCATTTTTTGAATCTTCAACTAGTCTGTATTGTGTTTAAATGGCAGCCATTCTTTTTTTGAATTGTTAACAAAATCCTGGTATTGTTGTTTTTGTACTCTATAGGAAAAGGCAGTTGATCAGTTAGGAAACTAAATGGTTGGGCTGATTCATGATCATCAAGGAGACATTTTCTGACCTGATGGTTCTTATCCATCTTCTTTCTAAAATTTATCAAATCGTGAGTTTATTCCAGTAAAGAATTAGATGTGAATAAATGTAATCATAAAGAAAATACATACTCCCTCCGTCACAAAATTATTTTCTAGTTTGGATTTTCAATTTTAGACTAAAAATGAAAATCCAAACTGGACAGTAATTTTGGGATAGAGGGAGTATGATAAAATATTAAGGGTTAGTAATAAAATAATAACAAGCAGATTGGCTATTAAGCTTCATTGTTAACCATATGATTGCCTCTAAAGAAGACATAGGGAGAATGACCAAGTGTGCAGGTGAAAACAAGAAAGGAGCAAGAGCCAGCATAACCTCCTCCCAAATACAAATGATGATTCTTTTCCAACATTCTTGTATTAAAAGAAGAGGGAATGGAACTACTTTTAAGTTGTCTTGTCAATAGCACCATCAATACAGAAGTAGTCCTTCATGCACAACAAAGGATTGGAATACATTCATAAATTGGCTACATGGGAGGTAACTATTATGTTGCTCAAACTTACTAGTAATGAATGCCTCAATAAATGCTCAACTATTTCACAGCAAAATGATTGCATTTGGAAGAATATCTTATCACAGGAAAACTGTAAACCCGCTCGGGAGAAAACTCGCGACAAAATGCAGCAACAAAAGAGTGATATAGGTTGCTTTGTTTTTGTTATTATTTCAAGTTAGTACCATTAATACTGAAGTGGTAAAACTCTTCGTTTTTCGTTTGTTTACATGCATAAAAAGAAGAAATCTAATAGTGTAGTTGCAGACATGCTTTCAATAACAACAAACTAAAGTCCAAATGAACACACCTTCGTAACTAAGATGGGACCAATAGCATTGATTTCATATGCAAGAAGTAAGGATGACCTCTGCACCTTGCTCAATGTTGTCTCTGTACTGGTAGAAAGAAACAAATTTTACAACTTCGGTGACTACCATATCAAAAGTTTAAGTTGGAGAAAAGAAAAGATAGCTATCATTGACTTTTGGTGGTAGCATATTGTGTACATGTTATAAGGCATTGCTTAGCATCAATTGTGAATATCTGTACCTGGATGCAGTACATCAGGTATAGACAAGATGCCGGATGCGTTGATGAGAAGGTTTAAAGATCCATATTTGTCTCTCACAGCATCAGCGGTTTCCTACATAGAGAAAAGGACAGCTGAGTGATCACAAATCATAAATATATATATATGTATGTATATTATGTTGACCAAAATAATATTACCGTACACCCATTGCTCCCACAGAAACTAGATAAGCCTCACATTATCAATAACATCAAGCCTTTACGCTGTTTTTAATGTGACTGATTTCATTAAGCACAACAAAAGTTACATCGGCCATTTAAGTTGACCACTGAAACCCTCTTTATTCAGATTCGAGATCAGAAAGCGTGGACTTGGAGCCAACTAATTACATAGAATCAACTCATAGTTTACAAACTTTTTTTTTTCTTCATTGAGACATAATTGGTATACATAATCCTTAAGAAGTTCAACCTTGAGTAGAAAGTGAGGTTATTTGCTCAAGCCTCTTTTAACTCTTTGTTTCTAAATCTGTAGGAGAGTGTAATGATCCTATTCGAGCCGGATCAAACTCCAGAATATAGAGGGAGGCAGAGTTCTGACTAAAAAGTCATTTTTCATTAATTTTCTTCTTCTTCCGTTAATAGGATTGAAGTTACATATTTATAGACTAATCAACAACTACAAAGTAGGGAAGATTAACTCTGACTAACTCCATGACTCTATTAACTACTTGTAAAACTGATCCACTACTTAATAAACTACTACATAACTCTGATAATTACTACTTAATAGAAAGTAAAAAGACACACTAACTAATTACATTGTATGGAATTACAGAGAGCATGTAAAGTTAGGAATAAAGTACCTCTATAGTGCTTTCAATGGTGAGATCTAACCGCAGAATGTCAAGCCTTTGAGCAAATTTACTTTTCAGCTCCTTAAGTCCAATTGACTCATTTGGACTACGGCATGTTGCAACAACGTGCCCTCTTTCATTTTTCTCTAACAGCTGTTTTACCTGTCACAGGAAGAAGCAATTCAGAACTTGCATAGGTGGCCATAGCTTTTAGCAGAAATAACTAGTACTATTTCAGAGTTGACAGTCGGTACACAGAAAATTTTCCACAAAATAAATGCTTTGTTTGGAAAACAAAATCACCATAAATAGACAGCTAAATGGATCCAAGAAAGAAATCTTCAATGGTACTAAACACAAGAAATAACAATCTTAACGATCAAATAAAAAATTATAAGAAAACTTGAAAAACTATAATTATGAGATACGCATATATGACGATGACAACAAATACTAGCCATATTCTGCAACGTGAATCACATCTCAATTTCAAGCAATATTAACTCACATTTTCATTTGATAGCTATCAGAAAAGTCAAGAATTAGTGCCATAAAATCATATTTATCTAGTATAAACCATAATAAGCATCTAAAAGATAGTAAAGGAACAAACTACACACTCTGAAAGAGTTGAAACTGTAGCATCCAGAATGACAGAGATCAACTATGATATGAGAATGGCAGCAGTTGCTGTAATGCGCAGACAGACCGAATAACTAGTACTGGTAGTTATGGCTATCATAATGCTTTCTTGCAGATTTTCCATAAGATTACCATTAAGGAAACTTAGTGAGAATTAAAGAAATACAAACAGATTTTGACCATCATAGCTCAATTTCAAATACTTCAACAGTCAGAAAAAAGAGATGGGAGATCAGAATTTCCAGCTACTTACATATTTTCAATTTGATTACAAAGGAACTCAAAATGCCTAAGATATTCAACACGATTACTTTATAAGGTAAAATCTTCAAGTACACATTATCATAATGAGATGCAAGAATCCGATGCAGATGTACGATATTCTCCACCAAGAAAGATCAAGTTTAAACTCTAAGATCTTCATCCCAAAAAATTTCATGATTCCTGAATTTAATGACTTCCAAAATATCCGGTCACCTACAGATCGTCAGATCCAACAAAAATCTAGAGGCAGGTTCAAAATCTTTGCCTAATGTTCGTACTAGCTCTTGAGAAATGCATAGGCAACAATACCAAGAAGGCTATCAGCTCAAGAATCGTAGGAAAAAAAGTCAGATTTGCAAACAATTGCTACGTTGATCGTTATAATATTGTAATCCACATCACATTACTTAATGCTAATCAAGTGCTGCAACCAATCTAATACTATTGAAGTTGGATTCGACGTATTTCGGAAAGAGGCAATGAGACCACCTACCAAACCAGTCCAAAACAGTATGCCAACAATTTCAATTCGACGAGAATTCAGCAATTATGCACTACAAATCACAGTCAAGAACAAATTTAATCCAAAAACAGAAATCCAATAAAACAACCAAATGGAATTCAAAACATAAACGACGAATTCAAACAAATTTGATAAAACTACACCAATGGGAGAAGAGCATGGGTTCTGCAATTTCAGCTTACGAATTCTAGACCGATGCCTCGGGAGGCTCCTTGAACCAATGAAACGCCTCCATCCCATTTGGTTGCAGAGGATGATGCCAAAGTGGAGTAGGAAGAGGAGGAGGCTCTTGTGGTTGCAAAGTGTTTGAGGAAAGGCCTCGCCATGAAAACGGCCCGAGTAACAAGATGAAGCTTCATAGCCGTTGTATGACTGATTTTCTTCAGTATGAATAGAGATCAGAAAAACTGTGATGGGAAATAAAAAGAACACGTTAGATACTTATCCCTTGCAAATTTCATACTTTCTATTTCAGCAATTCAGCCAAGCAACTTACCAATAAATATACACGTGGATTTAATTTTTTTTTTTTACTTTCCTCCTCTAAGAAAAATAATCCACATAGTAAAATTTACAAATTTTTAATTTTAATCGATTCAATTAAGGTACGATCATTAATTATCCACAAATTTTTGATGTATTGATATTTAATTTGTTTTCTACTCAAAATAATCTCTATCCCCTATGTTTAATTGTGATTATATTTTAGTCATTTTATCCAAATCAATTTCGACAGTAGTTGTCTAATTTGACTTTTTATTTATATTATAATTTGTACGTACTAAAAATAAAAATAAAAATTAAACAATCATTTTGAAATATATAAAGTATAAACACAAACTAATTTTTTAGATAAATTCTTTTATGAAATAGATTACTATTTTTTTAGAGCGAAAGATTATTATTTGTTGGCTATTGATGGAGCCAGCCCGTTTTAGACTGACCGGTTTAATGAATATGCACTGTCACATTAGTCCGCAATTCCAAACTCATACTAATAAGGAATGTATTCGTAATTGTCCTCTCAAAATATCTACGTATACATTCAGCGTAAAATGTTGAGGTAGTTTGCTTTTACCCCGTATTTAGTTTTATCTTTATCTCTTTCTATTTAATTAATTCGTCAGAGTGTTCGTCTTGCAGGGCTTTATATCTGTAGATTGGCTTGTCAACCTGAATCATTCACCTTTATCAATTACAAAGTGAATAGACCTTTTTCTAAATGTCCAATAAATTTAGTTTCAGCGTTAAAAGTATTTTCTTTGTCCTAAAAAAGATCTACATTATATTTTAAAACTTTATCTATTTTATTACAAATTTGAAAACTAATGTAAATTCTTTTATAATTATTTGTGGAATATGAAAAGAAGAGAAAAATAAAATCGTATCCCTCAAATTTTCATCAAGAGAATTTCCATGGATATTAAAAAAAAGGCTTGAAACTCCCATTAAACGGCCCATTTGCGATACAACAACAACAATCCAGCATATTCCCAACTTTGTTGGGGTCTGGGGGTCAAGATATACGCAGTCTTACTTATGTATATCAATACAGAAAGGCTGTTTAAGTAGTACGATCCCAGATCCATTGGTATATTGATGCATTGATTTCTAGAAACTTTACTAAATTAAGAAGCGCAGGTATTTAGATGAACCATTTTGATCTAATCCATTATTAAAACAAAGCTAAAAGAATTATTACTGATGACTCTTCAAGCTCCATTTGCAATGGATATAATCATTTGCGATACAAAAGAAAGCAAAATGTTGTCCTGCTCTATGGGGTTCTTGTCTGGTGGCTAAAGTAAGGAGAAAGCTACACTCGAGCCCCATGATTTTCTTCGTTGGACATCTAGTGTCACAGTTCAGCCATAAAAGTGTATGCATACTCTTTTGTACACAATCTGCTACATGTTAGTGCTCTGATAACTTTGACATCTCATACATATTCCGGATATGTAAACAGTAGCTTGAGAGGAACATTATTTAGATATTCATTGTCTCTCGAAATTACTGTCTAAAATTTATATTTTTAATTTTAGTATAAAATGAAATAAAAGTGACAATCCAAATTGGATAATAATTATTTGGGACATAGGGAGTATAAAAATTGTATAATTCAAACAAAAATATATAATTTCAAACGAAAAAAAAAAAAGAACAAGAGAGAAATAAGAACTATCAATATATATAGTTGTTAAACTATATATGCTCATCCCTTGTCGCCCTGAGAAATCCACAAGGATGGGCAGATTAAACTTGAGACGGAATCACCTTCAATACCATGAAAACGTTCGACATTTCCATCTTCAACATTGTAGATACCCATATCCTTCCCACGCATTCTTGCTTCTGCTTCACTTGCTTCCAGAAAATCGTCGGTAAAATATATACAGTTCGACTGAATTCCGCTCAATTCTGCCTCTGCCATTGAGATAGAAATCGCCGCATTGGACCCAATAAACACCGCATCCCCTCCCAAACTAGAAATCTCCTTCCACTCATGTTGCACTATATCCAAATGGTACACCTTGAATCTTGTAGTATAGTAGTACTTAATGGGAAGATAATCATCGCTTCCGTCGTCATGATCATCCTCTACTCGTAAAACCACCCGCAACTCCCCTGATGATGATTCCACTAAATATACTTGTCTATGGATCCAGAACGACTCGTCAGCTATGGAGAAAATGCCAACGGCAAACTTCGGCAACGAAGATTGATCATCATCATTCCAAGCCATGATAGCTCCTTTAGACGTGATTGCATAGAACTTTCCTTTATAGTAATTGACATGCCTGAATGTACATCTAGTTGATCGTGGTATCCTGGTCCATTCTGGATTTCCGGGCCTCCAGAAAGCTAAAAATCTACTCCCATAGGCAATTGTCATTAGCGTAAAATCCGACCCATTGGATGGATTATGTGAAAGTACTGCTTGTTTTATGAAGAAACAAAAAGGATCAGTCCGGTAACCTTTGTACTTTGGGAAACGTTTAAGTCTGGGTAGGATCATGCACTCACGAGAGAAAGGATTCAACAAAGTTATCTCTCCAGAATTCGCGATGGTAAGTACCCATCCGAATCTTACTCCGATGCATCGTTTACCTTTGCTTCCGGCAGAGATAACCTCAGGCTAGTACTTCTCTGTGATAAACTGTAGAATTCGCGTTCGTGGTTGGCGTTTTCGTGTCCTGGAAGCATAAGCAGTGGAACTATTGGCGGCCATGACGGGACGAACTTGTCTTTGGTGGCCACGGCTCGCCAAGAAGTACAAACACCTCGGAAAGCCATGAAATCATCCGCGCAATGTATGCGAATGGCGATCTCTGACAACAGATCGGGTAAAAGAGAAGACCAATCAATCGACACCTCCATGGACATACGTACGCAAAATATGCGGGAGGGAGAAAACTCTAAACAAAGGGATGAAAAGTAAGAATTTATTAATAATATATAACTATACAAATTGATGATGAAGATATTTGCCATATACAGTTTGTGTATATATAATTATAGGCAGACCATCACTTCCGAATATCAGTTGTTTTTGGATTCCGGATATCTCTCGGTACTTTTTGTAAATCTTTGATTCCTAAATCAAGGGAAGGCATAATCTGTTCTCTTTCTCTCTTTTAACACTTAATCATCACCTTTACCTAAATAAAAGGAAATACTAAAATTTTTGTAAGTCTATTTCAGTAATTTCAGATGTTGCTCGGGAAACTCATATATATATACACTACAAAAAAAATGACGTTTCGGGATGTTGCTACACGTCCCATTAGGTCACTTTTCGAGACGCTTATGGTTTCGAGATGTATAGAAAAAGATCCTGTAGTAGGCTGTCCTAAAAGGCTTAAGGACACAAATAAAGTCCCAATACTCTAAAGCGTCCTATTAAGTAAGTATTAGGTTGACTATTAGCGTACATCGAATAAGATCTCTACAACCTCATGAGAATACAACAAAGTGTCCACCATGCAAATATGATCTTTATTTTTGCAGAACTTAATAAAGAGAAGAAGTGAGCTATCCACCATCTTCAAAAGTCAATCTTGAGCACGTTCATCACCTGAATATAAAACCACAACAATAATGATTATTAGAGAAACTCATTATATAGTAATGCAAAATATGAACAAAGATATGAGGTGTGCTTTGGATCAACTAGTATTTGACCTCATGTTAAACGTTTATAAAGAGACACAGTTGGAGCAATATTCTACACGCTAGACACCAAGTTGTTTAACACAATATGGAGCACTACTCTGCTCTTAAGGATAAAAATTAAGAAAAAGAATTACTTGACAGTTATTGTTGATAACCCCTGCCATTCACTTTGCAAAATGCAGGAGCGAAAACCTTTATCGGGTTAAAACTAAGAGCACACTACCATGCACATAGACAATCCCAAATGGCTGAACAGTGTTGAAAATAAATCAAAGATGCACAAAGACCACATTTAGAGGGAGCAACCGACTCTTATTGCATAACCAAAATTGATGTCCTGCGAGGACATCCTGAGTTAACAGCCAGGAGCTTAAAACCACAACATTTTGTTACTTTCTATTGCAAACTGAAATATATACAGCTGCTACCAATTATTAACAAACCTGCAGAACCCACCATGCCATATACTTTAGCAACTATTTTACAAAACACCTATATACCAAGGACGCTGTACAAAAGAGCAGTACTACAAACTAACAACATGCACAGCTGTTATTGGCAGCCGACAACTTGCAAAACCCACTAAAACTTTGTTCTCAAGCTACTCACATTCTTTACACTAGCAATTCGCAACAAGTCACAAGCACACTCACATTCTTTACACATGTAAATAACAAAACCAAATAAAAATTTGAGAGACATTGAAATAAATTTTCTGAAAAAGAAGGGGCACACTCACCTCTATCCTCAGCTGCTACAGGGTCGTACTCATAAGAATATAATGTCTCAAAAATCTTAGCTATCGGGCCTGCAGATTAAGTATTTTGCGGGTTAAATCTTTAGTCGATACCATGATAGCATAAAGTAACTAGTTTTGTCTATTGACAGAGCTAAAGAGACAAATATAACTCTTATTAGCTCTCTGTGGTTTCTTAAGGTTTATGGGAGCCTTATCTAGTCTAAAATACTCAATACTCAGTGAGGTTAAGTTCATATATCAAGCTAGGACAAGTATAATGGTTGCGCAATATGGAGATAATGCATACAAGGAGTTACTTTAATTCCCTGTAGTCCTACTTTTCAATAAGGTAGTTAGTAATGTTTGATTATTACATCAGTGCTATGTTTTTTTTTCTAAACTCAATGAATTAAGTTAAAGCATAAAAAAAAAAAAGAAGGTTTATGTAGGTGCCAATTTCACCCATGACCAAACATGCAACCCAACACCTCATGCTAATCATTTTCCCCTGTTCCTTTTTGTTTAAGAAAATAGTCAGGATATCTGGACGGAGAGAGAGAGAGAGAGAGAGAGAGAGAGAGAGAGAGAGAGAGAGAGAGAGAGAGAGAGAGTTGCAAAGAAAGCCAACCTAATCAGTGGGTTTCTTAACCCTCTAATTGCTCCCAGTTGCTGCTCAAATGATTACAAAGCTACTAGCCACTAAAACAGAGAATCTATACCCAAATAATCCTCATTCTTATACTTTAATCAATAAACTCCAGTTTTGTTTTGAAACCATCTTTCACTTATAATATTTACAAGATTAAACTTCTACATACATCAACAAAAAAGAGTTAGAAGCTCTGATTAACCAAGAGCTTCAAACCAACAAACAGTACCAAATTAATTGCTCTCTGTCTCCTCTAAGCACCCCAACATCTTGAATGAATTAACAACGCCCAAAAAATGGAAGAAGAAGCATCCAAACTATACCGGTTTCAATTAGAACTCGTAGGGAGATTAGCATGTCACCTTGATGAATTCCAAACTATTTATAAGAGTATATAAATGAATAAATGATGCACAACATCAAAGTATTTATAACAAAAATTCCCGCATAATCTACGATGGATCTAAATTCAGAAAGAATAGACCTTGTTTAGAATAAAAAAAAAAAAGAAGAATTAAAAGAAGGAAAAATACTATACCTCTAGCACCCGACTTCTACCTCGGTCTTGTCTCCTCCCAATTTCAGCCACGATGGCACCGTAATCGCAACGTCGGGACAATCGTGCCAGCAGCTTACTCCTTAGTCACGGTTGATTGGAGGAAAAGACATCGATTGGATCGGATATCTCTCGATTGCTGAATACTCGCTCGCGGAGATCTTTCCATTCTTGTTGTGCAATTCGAGCTCGACTGTGCCCAGGTTGCTAGAGATCTACATCGTACTCATTGACATCGATTGAGGAAATGTCAGCCGGTGATGACACAGGCGCCGATTAGAGAGGGGAAACGGAGGGTTTGCTTCTGTGGTTTTTGTGGGTAGAATTTTTGGGAAGAGAAAATAAAAGACCCCTTGCCATAGAAAGAGAGGTTAAGCCAAAAAAAAAAAAAAAAAAAACACGAAGGGGAAAAGAGGGGGAAAATAAGGGGGGTAATTTTAGGCAAAAAATGAGTGAATTTTCGAAAAAAAAAAAAGCGGGATAGATTCAATTTTCCGCCAACATATAAGGCTTTAAAATTAATAAAATTAAAAACACAGTTAAAATGAGTTGTTTCTTTTATGGTTATTATGGATTAATTAACAACTATAATTCTCTCTTTGGTTTTGAAAATTCAATTATCATGCAATTGAGTTACTACTAAAATTATTGTCCAGTTTAGGTTTTTATTTTTACTTTAAATTGTATTAAATGTAAAAATTTAAATTAGACAATAACTCTTATTGAAATGCACTTCAAATTGGAAGCACATTTTTGTTAATTCAATTACTTTATTTAGACATTCATACTGTAAAGTACTTTCCAATAACTAGACTAACTATATCACAACAAATAAACATTCCAATGTTTATAATTCTGTATGTTTCATGTTAGCAACAATTAATAGCTTTGTTAATTTTACATATTAATGACAAATCAGCATTTCACACTGTACTCTAATGTTTCTTATATTTCTCTTTATCCAACAGTTGATTATAAAAAATCGGATAACACGATAGGAGTGTGTATATATATATATATATATATATATATATATAGAGAAAGAGAGAGAGAACAATAGAAACATAGTAAATGCTACTCCCTATGTCCCATAATGATTGTCCAGTTTAGATTTTTATTTTTACCAAAACTTGTACTAAAAGTGAGATTCCATACTGGACAATAATTTCAGTACGGATAGAGTACTTCAAAATGTGCTTAACATAAATATGTGTATGTATTAATTACTAAATTGTAGTTGGCAAGTCTAATTATTATCATTGTTCTTTTGTGTGAGCTAAGACATATTAACTACAAACATATTATATAAGACCAATGTAGTTGTGCGTAATGATGGACAAATTATTGGCGAGAAAGCAATTAACTATGAAATGCTTGAACGTGATTAACGTTATGGATAATTTATCCTTAAAACAAAGTAGAATTTTAGTATGTGATTAATCCGTGTAGAAACTGTAGCACATATTAAAATGAACGTCTAAAGTTCATGGATGATAAAAAAATAAATAAAAATGTGTAGTGTTATATAGATGGATGTATCCATACAAGCATATATCATTAATAGATGTTACATATTAAAAAAAAAATTCATCGTAATAATGTTACTGGGTAAAAGTATAATTATTGGCGTGTCACTTTACAATTACTATAAGTCTATTAGACTAATATGGAATTTGTTCGATTTATGTGGAAAATTGAATGTTTGTTTTAAATGTCATAATATAGTTATAGAAATTTATAAACTAAATTATAAATACACCATTTGATCCCAATTCAAATGAGGTATGAGCATATTATGAAAGCGGGATACGTATCGTGTATCGAAAACATAGATTTATGATACGCGTATCGTATCGTGTATCGTATCGTAAAATACGTTTGAATATAATAATATCTATAAAAAAATAATAAATATCATAAACTTCATATGTAGTTGATATATTTATGTTTATTTATTTATTTTTCAATTATAAACAAATAAATTGATTAAGTTGAATTCAAAATTATTTGAAAGTTACACATATTATTTATTCATTATATGAATAATGGTCGTCAAACATATGTAATAAATATTATTTTTCATAATAATTGTTATTAAGTCATAAATTTAATAGAGAGAAATTAATATAAACATGTATTGCATTTATTAACATGCTATTAGTTATACTTGATTTAAAAAAGGAAAATGATATATGAATAAAAAATATTTTTAACTAATTTTATTTTTTAACTAGAATAATTTATTTATCGATTTTATTGACAATGGAGGAAGATTATGTTTATGAAATAAATCAAAAGTATCTATTTAAACAAATTGTAAATGAAATTCGCTCTTAATTTGAAATTTAAATGGTCACAATTTGAATTATTTTAAGAAAAAATTAATTCTTTACCTATGTTTTGTATCGTACGATACACAATCGAATCGTGTATCGTATGTATCGTACGATACGTATCGGTAATTGACCAATACACAAGCGATTGCGATACATACTATGATACGTATCAAAATCTTTAATTTTGATACGTATCTTGCGATACGTATTGCGTATCGTACGATACTTACTACTATGGGTATGAGATTTTCAATTTCTATGCTTGCCAATTATGCATTTCTATTTGGCCACTTTTATTTGTGATTAATTAAATATACCATAGGTTAATAGGACGTTTTCAAGAGTCCTTATTAGTAATAAATATGAGGACGCTTCTAAGTCTCTCGTAAATTACTCTTTTTGGGACGGATAACTATTATAGGACACATATAAACGTCCTACTAGTAATTCGTAATAGGATACTTGTAAGCGTCACATAATATATTTTTAATGAGACGTTTTTGTCATACGTCCTAATATGTATCTACTGAGACACTTTTACAAAAAGCGTCTCGAAAAAAGCGTCCCTATAGACACTTTTTTTTGTAGTGATATATATATATATATATATATATTTGAAAATGATATTCATCTCACCAAATTCAATTCACCTTTCCATCTCACCTTACATGTCAATTATTTATTGGATCATAAATTCCCTGCACTTGGTGCATCACTTCCTACACCAAATTTAAATAACTCAATTTTAATATTATTTTTGTTATTAATATTGGTCCAATTAATAAATCATTTGTGATATTATAATTTTTCCATTAAGGGTTTACCTTTTTCGGGGTTAGGGTCTATTTATTTTAATCTTTTAGATATAAAAATATCAAAAAAGTCTATAAATCTAATAAAAAATAATTAAACTTACTTATTAAATTTCATCCAATAATTAAATGTCATGTAAGATGAGATACAATGGTGAGATGAATTAGTGAGTTGTGTATCATAACTCATACACACACACACAGATATATATATATATATATATATATATATATACATATAAACTAGGATGATTCAGTCGCGCATTGCACGTCTATTCCTTTCGTGAAATAATTTATTATTTTCTTGCTTTAAAATGATTTATTTATTCTAACTTTGATTTGAGTTTAATAAAAAATTACATGGTAACTAAAGAATGTTTTTTTTTCCTTGAACTCAAACTCATTACTATTATATCAACTCATTCTAAGTGACTTTGGCACAATCATTTGTTGGAGCTTGTTATGGGTCGATCGTAACTTTTGACATCATTGCAAAAGGAAAACAAAGAATATATATTGATTCAAAACAAATATTGAAGGTTTTTAGAACGGATTACCGTATTACAGCGGAATAATAGGATGAATTTTTTTACGACGTTCTTTGACTCACGGTGCGTTGAACCTACGAGACCTCCAACTTAATTCCACCTATTCAAGTGCCTTCTACTCAATACACAATAAGTGAACTAACTGATTATGAAAGAAATGTTTTCCTCCGCATCACCATCCTCACCTCTTGATCTCTCTCTTATAGTCATATTAAGGCGTAAGATAGTTCTAATTAATCCTTGCATTTCATACGCATTTATGACAAGAAGAGATCACATAGTAAAGGATGTGAGCTGTAAGATAAAACAATTTATCTTCTTTCAGTTATTGTCATGGGCAGACAACTAATGCCAGCATCCCCACTCACACATGTCAATAATGACATTGTGTATTTTCTTTCGATGCATTGAGTTTAAATCATGCAGCCAAATGAATGGTGCGACCGCTGAGTCTACCTAATATTGGGAGCACTATACTAGAAACCAATTATGGCCAGCATAGAGACATCTACCCTAATAAATAAATAAATATATATATATATAGAGAGAGAAAGAGAGAGAGAGAAAGAGAGAATTCAATTAAAGACTCAGTATGTCTCAGAACTATTTGATTATGCCATGTCGAGTATCTCTAATCCCTTGAAAGACCATACTTTGACATTAACTTTTGAGTAACATGCTTATAATTATGTCACTTAACTAAAGCGCCATAACCCGTCAACGAATAAACATAATACAAGGCCATAATCCAAATATTCTTCCTTTGCCGTAATGCCAGTTAGTTTACAAATTAATAGCTTTCCTAGCGATGCTCCATAAGATCGAATCACTCATGACCATCGGCCACATGCCAAAGTAGCTTACATCAATTTTAAACCTCTTGACACATTCGAAAGTCACAAAGGGCATAATAAAGATATAAAATATCCTTAGGACTCACACAATGAGGAAGCAGGGATTCACTCACTCATTTCTAGTAATGGTCATCTAGCACATGTTGTATGATACATGCTACAATATGAAAAATGTACAGATCTTAGTCAAGTCGCTCCTTAGACGCCTTACTTGAAATCTTTCATTGTTCTCTAATTCATTCAACTAAAAGATCTTACATCCGGCTTACAAGCTTATATGGATAGTGGGCATTCCATATTCGATCTTACTACAAGACCTCATCTTGAAAATCAATCAAGGCGACAACTTAATTGTCTCGTCTCTTGCTCACTCTCGATGGCGCCTAAGAGAACTGTTGCTCGTGTGAGTGAGCCAACTAGCTTGTTTATCTAATCATTCAAAAAATAATTATATGTGCGAACAATCATCAATGTATTGAAACTTTGCCTAATTCGGCCCACACACTTACCAAACTCTTCAAAGCCCAGCCGGAAAAAACTGGCCCAACACATACACCCAAACAATGTTGCAGAAACTAAGAAGATTCTTATTTCTTATACCAATGGTACTAACCATTTCTCAAATTCCCATACAAGCACATTTTGAAAAACCAATTTCAGTCCCACCTCAAAATCCAGTGGCAAAAACCTCCCATGGTCTCAAGGTCCTTTCAGGTTGAACAACCCCAGCTCTAGGAGACACAAAATTAACCTCATTTTCTATATCCTTTAAAACCACAACCAATATAATTTCACCAATAATAGCCATTTTCAAAGTATCATCAATCAGGTTAAGCTTCATCACAAAATCATCATCGAATTTCTCTAACAAAACATGGCTAGAATCATGAGAATGCACCATTTTATCAACAATCAGGACATCATCCACCAATTTCTCTCCATAATCATTATCATTAATCTCATCTATGATTGTAAAATCTTCACCCACAGGCAGAGAACCATCGTCATCATCTTGGACCATTTCCAACATTACAGAAACACTCTATTCATTCAAACACATAGGTTCTTCCAGTAAATCACTCATTATCATCGATTTTCCAACCAATTTTCCAAACATAATAGCATCACAAGTGGTAAGATTCACCAAGTTATCAACAGTCTTACAGTCATCAACAAAATTTTATAAAGAAACGTCATTATCATCATCATGAGGTAATTGTTCCTCATCAATCAGACAATCAACATTAGTTTTAATACGAGAAAACTCATCATAAATCAATTCTTCCAAACAGAGAAAAGTAACAGGTTTACCTCCTCCCGGTTTCACTGTTTTATAAAGTGGCGAATTGAAACATGTGGAAGAATAGAATTCCTTTACAGTGTTGCTACCATCAGCTTCCTTTGCCACCTTTCATCCTTCTTCATAAGCCATTTGAAAGAGATTCTCCCTTCGCTTTCCAAATCTTCGAATAAGATCATCAAAGAAGTCATTCTAACACAGGAGCATTGGTAAATTGCAAAGCCTGGAACCATATTTCTGCCTTTCCTTTGAGAAATGGCTCAATGTGTTCCAACTTCAAATTATCATCCATCTGATGCAACGTAAAGAAATCATCGTACTTTCTCAACCATCCACGAGGATTATCACCACATAACATCGGTAATTCAACCCTAGGTTATGTATACCACGCAGGACGACCACTACGATCTCCGTCATGCAACGTCTTTGATGGACCAGCTGTAGAAATCAAGATCAGTGTCTTATCAGGAGGCATATGACCGAAATGAATCGGAATTTTGTCACGAGCAACCTACGATCTTACAAAATTGTTCTTATCAATTACAGCAGCTAAGGATTTCAGCTGAGCTCCGATCTCATTCAGCGGAGCTGTATGAGTAGCAGCCATCGCTCGTTGTTCCTCCATTTGCGAACTGATCTCCTTCAATTTAGCTGTATGACAAGAAGCCACTACTTTTTGTTCTTCAATCCAAGTCCATAGTTCCGTTGTTTCTTCCGCGAGAGACTGTATGAACTGCTCCTGCCGACGAGTCTCTGAATCCAATGATGACTGAGAGCGCGTCGTCACCGGGACGAACTTGTCTTTAGTGGCCACGGCTCGCCAAGAAGTACAAACCCCTCGGAAAGCCATGAAATCATCCGCGCAATGTATGCGAATGGCGATCTCTGACAACAGATCGGGTAAAAGAGAAGACCAATCAATCGACACCTCCATGGACATACGTACGCAAAATATGCGGGAGGGAGAAAACTCTAAACAAAGGGATGAAAAGTAAGAATTTATTAATAATATATAACTATACAAATTGATGATGAAGATATTTGCCATATACAGTTTGTGTATATATAATTATAGGCAGACCACCACTTCCGAATATCAGTTGTTTTTGGATTCCGGATCTTTCTCGGTACTTTTTGTAAATCTTTGATTCCTAAACCTCTTTCTCTCTTTTAACACTTAATCATCACCTTTACCTAAATAAAAGGGAACACTAAAATTTTTGTAAGTCTATTTCAGCAATTTCAGATGTTGCTCGGAAAACTCATATATATATATTACTATATTAGAAACAAAAACCACATTTAAGAGAAAAGCACCACCAATTGTCATTTGACATTTCCACATCATATTTTAAAAATAAATTTTTATTTACATCTTACTTCTTACTATATAAGAAACAAAAACCACACTTCAAAGAACTCTCCTTCATTTGCCACGTGGCATTTCCACCTCATTAATTGTCATTAACTGGTATTAATAAATTAACAGATTTCTATAATGCCCTCCAGAATACACACCACTTGCTCTTCTGTTTTCTTTCCTCTTTCAAATTCTCACTCCTCCACTACAGTACAGAAGAATAAATTATATTACTTGTTATTCCACAACTGATGAGATTGCTCTTCAGCCCCTTTCATTTTCGATTCTTTTTCCAAAATCTTGCACGTTCTCATAATCAAAATGCCGCCGTCCACTGCTGGTAAACCGCCGCTTCCACCACCACCCCGCCTTGGTCGGGCACCTCTGTCACAAACCATTTTCTCCCGTGACAGAGCCCAGATTGCCACTTTCCATCTATTCTAACATAGAATGGAAAACAAACCTTCTATAGGCATCTATTCTAACAAAATTCAATTGAATCCTACCTTAATCCATAAGCTTTTATTGATTTCTTCAATTGAATCCCATTTTCAATTTATTTCTTTCGGTTTGGTTACTTTTGGCACAATCATTTGTTGGAGCTTGTTATGGGTCGATCGTCACTTTTGACATCGTTGCAAAAGGAAAACAAAGAATATATATTGATTCAAAACAAATATTGAAGGTTTTTAGAACGGATTACCGTATTACAGCGGAATAATAGGATGAATTTTTTTACGACGTTCTTTGACTTACGGTGCGTTGAACCTACGAGTCCTCCAACTTAATTCCACCTATTCAAGTGTCTTCTACTCAATACACAATAAGTGAACTAACTAATTATGAAAGAAATGTTTTCCTCCGCATCACCATCCTCACCTCTTGATCTCTCTCTCTTATAGTCATATTAAGGCGTAAGATAGTTCTAATTAATCCTTGTGTTTCATACGCATTTATGACAAGAAGAGATCACATAGTAAAGGATGTGAGCTGTAAGATAAAATTGTTTTATCTTCTTTCAGTTATTGTCATGGGCGGACAACTAATGCCAACATCCCCACTCGCACATGTCAATAATAACATTGTGTATTTTCTTTCAATGCATTGAGTTTAAATCATACAGGCAAATGAATGGTGCGACCGCTGAGTCTACCTAATGTTGGGAGCACTATACTAGAAACCAATTATGGCCAGCATAGAGACATCTACCCTAAAATATATATATATATATATATATATATATTGAGAGAGAGAGAGAGAGTGAACTCAATTAAAGACTCAGTATGCCCCAGAACTATTTGATTACTCCATGTCAAGTATCTCTAATCCCTTGAAAAGAGCATACTTTGATATTAACTTTTGAGTAACATGCTTATAATTCTGTCACGTAACTAAATCGCCATCACCCGTCGACGAATAAACATAATAGAAGGCCATAATCCAAATATTCTTCCTTTGCCATAATGCCAATTAGTTTACAAATTAATAGCTTTCCTAGCGATGCTACATAAGGTCGAATCACTCATAACCATCAGCCACATGCCAAAGTTGCTTACATCAATTTTAAACCTCTTGACACAATCGAAAGTCACAAAGGGCATAATAATGATATAAAATATCCTTAGGGCTCACACAATGAGGAAGCAGGGATTCACTCACTCATTTCCAGTAATGGTCATCTAGACATGTTGTATGATACATGCTATAATATGAAAAACGTACGGATCTTAGTCAAGTCGCTCCTTAGGCGCCTTACTTGAAATCTTTCATTGTTCTCTAATTCAATCAACTAAAAGATCTCACATCCGGCTTACAAGCTTATATGGATAGTGAGCATTCCATATTCGATCTTGCTACAAGACCTCATCTTGAAAATCAGTCAAGGCGATAACTTAATTGTCTCGTCTCTTGCTCGCTCTCGATGGCGCCTAAGAGAACTGTTGCTCATGTGAGTGAGCCAACTAGCTTGTTTATCTAATCATTCAAAAAATAATTATATGTGCGAACAATCATCAATGTATTAAAACTTTGCCTAATTCGGCTCACACACTTACCAAACTCTACAAAGCCTAGCCGGAAAAAACTAGCCCAGCACATACACCCAAACAATGTTGCATAAGAAGATTCTTATTTCTTATACCAATGGTACTAAGAAGATTCTTATTTCTTATAACAATCAGGACATCATCCACCAATTTTTCTTCATAATCATTATCATTAATCTCATCTATGATTGTAAAATCTTCACCCACAGGCAGAGAACCATCGTCATCATCTTGGACCATTTCCAACATTACAGAAACACTCTATTCATTCAAACACATAGGTTCTTCCAGTAAATCACTCATTATCATCGATTTTCCAACCAATTTTCCAAACATAATAGCATCACAAGTGGTAAGATTCACCAAGTTATCAACAGTCTTACAGTCATCAACAAAATTTTATAAAGAAACGTCATTATCATCATCATGAGGTAATTGTTCCTCATCAATCAGACAATCAACATTAGTTTTAATACGAGAAAACTCATCATAAATCAATTCTTCCAAACAGAGAAAAGTAACAGGTTTACCTCCTCCCGGTTTCACTGTTTTATAAAGTGGCGAATTGAAACATGTGGAAGAATAGAATTCCTTTACAGTGTTGCTACCATCAGCTTCCTTTGCCACCTTTCATCCTTCTTCATAAGCCATTTGAAAGAGATTCTCCCTTCGCTTTCCAAATCTTCGAATAAGATCATCAAAGAAGTCATTCTAAGACAGGAGCATTGGTAAATTGCAAAGCCTGGAACCATATTTCTGCCCTTCCTTTGAGAAATGGCTCAATGTGTTCCAACTTCAAATTATCATCCATCTGATGCAACATAAAGAAATCATCGTACTTTCTCAACCATCCATGAGGATTATCACTACATAACATCGGTAATTCAACCCTAGGTTATGTATACCACGCCGGACGGCCACTACGATCTCCGTCATGCAACGTCTTTGATGGACCAGCTGTAGAAATCAAGATCGGTGTCTTATCAGGAGGCATATGACCGAAATGAGTCGGAATTTTGTCACGAGCAACCTACGATCTTACAAAATTGTTCTGATCAATTACAACAGCTAAGGATTTCAGCTGAGCTGCGATCTCATTCAGCGGAGCTGTATGAGTAGGAGCCACCGCTCGTTGTTCCTCCATTTGCGAACTGATCTCCTTCAATTTAGATGTATGACAAGAAGCCACTGCTTGTTGTTCTTCAATCCAAGTCCGTAGTTCCGTTGTTTCCTCCGCCGGAGACTGTATGAACTGCTCCTGCCGACGAGTCTCTGAATCCAATGATGACTGAGAGCGCGTCGTCACCGCCATAATTCGCCAAGAAACGTTGGCTCTGGATACCAAATTGTCAGAAATAGAATTTAGGGCATTCCAACTTAGAGAAGGAGAAGAGATTTGGGGGAGAAAATAAACCATATTTTCATTCATTTTTCCATAAAACCGATCTAAACTGGAGACGACGACTTTTAAATTTCCTAACTATTACATAATTGCCACTTAGCCTCTATACCTTTGATTAATTCTATTATAACCCCCATTCCATGACATCCAAACGCAGAAAAGTGGCCCAACACAAGGTGTGGTTTCTAATAGGTTAAGGGCTTTCAAATCTATGCTAAGCTTAAAAAAAACAATACTAAGGAAGGATAAAAGTTCTGGTTCTGAATACAAGAAAAATTCTAAATTAATTGAAACCTGCATAAGAAAGAACTGGGTAACCAAGTCAGTGAGGGGCTTTCTTTACCGTTGAATGAAACGATCCTCATGTCTCTTAGAAGGCAACAACTCTTGAGTATTGAACAAGAATCCACTATTTTAAAAAATGATAAAAATTCAAATGTTAGCATTCAAAGAAAGGTCATACAATCAGCTATCGAGATTCTGACTTCGATAAATCTAGATATATGCATTAGTACTTCGTAAACCAAATATGTAGTTGATGATAATATAAGTACATAACATACTTCTCAAGTGTTAAGCGCTTATGGTATGATTTCTAAAGGTAGACTCGGTTCAGTTCCTCCTAAAAATATCTAAAAGGAGAAATTTTTTACAACTTTGTGGGGCTCACATGGGTCTGTTTTAATTTTTTTATTGGTTAACATGATATTGAAATTCTTAGACAAACGTAGAATTGAATGTAAAATTTTAATTGGACTCAAAATAATGTAATTTAAACAGTGAGGAACAAAATTGATATTTTCTGTACTAAACATTTCCCGCCCTTGCTATAAAACAACCGCACCACTAAAAAGAAAAGGGAAAAAAAAAAGGAAAAAGAAAAGACACATTTATGGGGGATATTCCCCAAAATAAAAAATTCTACTGCCACGGTTGTCAAGAAAATTTTTCATTGGAAAGGAAGCTTAACGGCCACAACACCGTCGCCCACCGCCACTGCAAATTTCAGTGCTCCACCTGCTCCAACGTTTTCAAAGACAAAAAAACTCTTCAATATCACAAGAATCTCTTAAACCATTCTTGAAAATTTTCTTTTCCTGTTCTTCAACCTCACCGCTCTTGACTTTCTCTCCCTGTTCTTCAACCTCACTGGGACGTTTTTTTTATTTTGCTGGTATGCATGGTGTAGAAATTGGATGCCGACTTATAAGAAGGTTAGGCAATGTAGTTTAATTCTTACCCGAAGTTAATTCCAATTATATATATATATATATATATATATTCGTCTTTAATTTCTTGAAAATGGTTTTCTTGATCCTTCAATTTCCCTTCGGACCATGCTTTCAGCTATTTGGGATGATTAGGGTTTTCTTATACTTTTGATCCTGTTGTGTATTTTTTTCAGGAACCCGTGTTCTAATCCTGAAGATAAATTGATGGCGTCAATTAGTTTGGTGAGTTCTCTGCTCACTGCCGCGAAAGCTGGGGCGCAAACGGTTGGGTCTATGGATGATGGTGATGATGATGAGGGAAATGTTGATGATGATGGTGATAAGGAGCGTAACTTCTGGAAGCGACCTGATCGATTGGGAAACAGGCTTTTTTGTCAACTCAACAGGGGCTATAAAAGGACTAGTCTTGATATGGTGAAGGACAGGGCTAATTACGTGATGATTGTGGTGCTTTCTAGTGGAACGAATCATCGAAGGAATCAGATCTTTGGTGCTGTTATGATTGCAAGAATCCATCACGGGCCTTTTCTTGTTCTCCCCATTTTGCAAGTGAATGTTATCTGGGGTGATGAAATTGAAAGGTTTTCGCCATTTCTCTTTTTTTTTTTTTTTTTTTTTTGGTTAGTATCATGAGCTTTGTTAGAACCATTCTTTAATATGAAGATGTTTTAGATTAGAGCTATTGTTGGGCTTTCAATTACTCTCAGCTAGCTGTGACCACAAAAAAATTCTTTTCTCTTGTTGTTTAAATGTTTAAGCCGAATAATGTCACGAAATGATGTTTATCTTGCTTTTTGCAGTGAATTTTCTGACATATGTGATTTGGAGCATTTCAAGGAAGTCCTAGTGAATGATGTTAGAATGCTGTTATCGCTTCCGTCTACACATGCTATGACTAAGCGAGTGGAAGAGAAAATGACTAGACTTTATGCAACTCCGCCATGGATTACATCATGGTTTCATAGAAAGGTAAGAATTAAGATAGAGTTACCCTGCCGTTGGTCCCTTTTTAAGTTATTTGTTAACAGTTCTCTTATCTGTTCATTTGGAGTGAGGGGTTGTATTTATGGGGATTGGGTAAGATGGAATTACCAGGATATTCATATGGGTTCATGCAAGGTTCGTTTTCCTGTAACTTTGAATTTCGTGTTGTTTTCAAGCATGAAGGAAAACATGATGGCTCTTCTTTTAGTCCAGAGTGGGTATATTTTTGAACATACAAAACAAATGTTCATATTGCCATATCGGTATGGGACTGCTTTCCTTAAAAAGAGTATGCGGCTTTTAATTAGTTTAATTGGTTTAGAAACTTGAAGTTAAGTATGTGGGTCACTTGGACTTACCCCAGAGGCTAATTTGAGGTTTCTTCTGCTTAATCTGTTGAAGAAAAGGGACGTGTTAATTCATTTCTTTAATAAAACTTTACTTAATGAGGTTTCTCCCACTGTTTTTCATATTTGGAGGGAGGGTGTCTTGCTTTTGAAAAGGCTGAATTTGAAACTTTCATTCCCTTCTGACCTTCAGAAGCTTCGCTGCAACGTACCTGGAAGCCCTGTAACTCTCTGGAAGCTAAAATCCCTTTACCATCTATTGCATTAACATTCTTGAAACTAAACATGTTCATATAGTAGGTAGCTTCCTAATGTGGTTCTGGGTCCTGATTGAGCTAAAATCTGTTAAAAGTCCTGTTAAAGCGAAGTTTTTTTTATTTATTATTATTTTTCTTTGCCTATTTATGACCATTTCTTTTGATCATTCTATAGGTGGCTTTTCATGGTTTAAGGTTTCCTCTGCCAATTTTAGACCTTGGGAACAAACTGACTAAGTGGATGAGGTGTGCGGGATCAATTCATCTGCTGATGGGGAAGGATGTATGGGTCAGGTCTGGGAGTCGTCCTGGATTAAGTCATGAATATGATGATGAGATGATCAGAAATAACAAGCAAAGGCCAGAGCTATTAACTTCAAGATCAAACATGGCATACCATGAAAGGAAGCTTTTCTGTCTGGCAGTCCTGAATGCTTTGGAGATTAAAAGGTAACAATTTCAGATATGCTTTGTAACATATACTGCTTCTTCAGTAGTGATTATGATTTCTGGGATAACTCTATTTTAACCGGCCAAAATGATTGTCATATCAGATTGCTTGAAGCTCTTGGCGCCCATATCAGGTTGCTTAAAGCTCTTGGAGCAGCAGAAAGTGCAAGAATCTTCTGGGCTAGAGGGAATACACTGCAAGAGAACAAATATCTCGCCTTTCCAGGAGAGCTGGAGCCCTTTCAAAGGAAAGCTTCTTTAATGGCTGCAATTGGTTACTTAGTATCTGCGAATAGTGACATATTCAATCAATCTCATGGAGGAAACATGGGCCACACGATTCAGGTATCATTGTATTTACCTGTCTCTGTTAACAACTCTTGTTTATGATAACTCCACTGTCAGAAATAGTCACATTTCTTTGTTCAAATATTAACCATGGAATATTGCTTGCATTGAGCGATTGAATGACTATTACCACAACCTTCTGGTACTACTTAATTCTGTATGAAGAACATAGCCTATTAAGTAGCATGTATGTGTAAAGCACCGTGTGATGTTCAGCGGGGCTTAGTTCCTGTACCAGTTTGCATACAGGCAACAAGTACTACCGCTTCCTTTCTTCAACTCTGTTATGTCATTGGCATCACGATGAGCAAGATGTTACCAGATCTTGTAGTTATTTTGCTATATGATTTTGCCTTCAATGCTGTAATGTCACGGTGCTCCATAAGTTCCTCGTGCATTACTTGTTAAAATTTTCCCCTGACTTTTGTTTAATAATAGCTATAAAGCTGACTACTTTGCTCCTCTCTTTTTCTTTCTGTTTCCTTCTTTTTTTGCATGAAATAGATAAGCAGCAGATCAACATACCTTAATACTGCTGAAGAAATTGATCTGCTCAACGGCCATGATGTTCATATTCATTCTCCCGTAATTGCTGTGCCCAAGGATGGACCTTCTCGTGTAGTTGAGCTCCCTGGCACCGATGGTGAGACCAACACCCAGGGTCTTAATGATCTTGCCAAGCGCTGCCAGCAAAACTATGCTGCTAATGCCAGATTTTCGAGTGGCATGTTGTCAAGACTAGAGCCAATGAACCATCCCAGGAGACTATTCATGAGAATTCCAGTGGATTGGACTGATATGCTATCATCCGCCAGCAGAATGGTTTGGTGCCAATTGTTGAGCCAGAGATCTTTGCACCATGCCTCTTGCTGTCCCTTCTGTGGTGTTCTTTTCTGGTGCCCAAAGTGAGGAGAAAGGTACACCCAACCTCAATGCCATGAACAAGCTTCAGACCATGGTCCTGTTTTCTCCTATGGACAAAGCACCCGATGGCGCTCTTGTTACTCTAGCTAATGTCACGGTTCTGCCTGAAAAGTGTATATATATGAGGGGATACTAAAAATGTCTGTAAAATTGATCTTGCACCGTCTTGCTGTACTTGTTGGTGACGTCAATGATCAGGTTAATTACAAGTTACACACAACTCAGGTGTCTATAGTCTTTTGTGCCCAATCTGCTATATTTAAGACCTCTGATAATTTTGACAACTCATATATATTCTGGAAATGTAACAGTAGCTTGAGAGGAACATTAGATATAAAAATTGTACTTAAAAACAAAATACTTTACATAGTTTCAAATGAATGCTATATCATAGAGGGAAAATGAATCAGAATAATAGAAAAAAAAAAAAAGAAAGAGAGAACTTAATAAGAACTGAACTAGTATATCCATAGTTATATTCTAATCCTTATCGCCCTGAGAAATCCAAAAGGATGGGCAGATTAAACTTGTGACGGAATCGCCTTCAATACCATGAAAACGTTCGACATTTCCATCTTCAACATTGTAGATTCCCATATCCTTCCCACGCATTCTTGCTTCTGGTTCACATGCTTCCAGAAAATCGTCGGTAAAATATATACAGTTCGACTGAATTCCGCTCAATTCTGCCTCTGCCATTGAGATAGAAATCGCCGCATTGGACCCAATAAACACCGCATCCCCTCCCAAACTAGAAATCTCCTTCCACTCATGTTGCACTATATCCAAATGGTACACCTTGAATCTTGTAGTATAGTAGTACTTAATGGGAAGATAATCATCGCTTCCGTCTTCATGACCATCCTCTACTCGTAAAACCACCCGCAACTCCCCTGATGATGATTTCACTAAATATACTTGCTTATGGATCCAGGACGATTCGTCAGCTATGGAGAAAATGCCAACGGCAAACTTCGGCAACGAAGATTGATCATCATCATTCCAAGCCATGATAGCTCCTTGAGCCGTGATTGCATAGAACTTTCCTTTATAGTAATTGACATGCCTGAATGTACATCTAGTTGATCGTGGTATCCTGGTCCATTCTGGATTTCCGGGCCTCCAGAAAGCTAAAAATCTACTCCCGTAGGCAATTGTCATTAGCGTAAAATCCGACCCATTGGATGGATTATGTGAAAGTACTGCTTGTTTTATGAAGAAACAAAAAGGATCAGTCCGGTAACCTTTGTACTTTGGGAAACGTTTAAGTCTGGGTAGGATCATGCACTCACGAGAGAAAGGATTCAACAAAGTTATCTCTCCAGAATTCGCGATGGTAAGTACCCATCCGAATCTTACTCCGATGCATCGTTTACCCTTTGCTTCCGGCAGAGATAACCTCAGGCTAGTACTTCTCTGTGATATACTGTAGAATTCGCGTTCGTGGTTGGCGTTTTCGTGTCCTGGAAGCATAAGCAGTGGAACTATTGGCGGCCATGACGGGACGAACTTGTCTTTGGTGGCCACGGCTCGCCAAGAAGTACAAACACCTCGGAAAGCCATGAAATCATCCGCGCAATGTATGCGAATGGCGATCTCTGACAACAGATCGGGTAAAAGAGAAGACCAATCAATCGACACCTCCATGGACATACGTACGCAAAATATGCGGGAGGGAGAAAACTCTAAACAAAGGGATGAAAAGTAAGAATTTATTAATAATATATAACTATACAAATTGATGATGAAGATATTTGCCATATACAGTTTGTGTATATATAATTATAGGCAGACCACCACTTCCGAATATCAGTTGTTTTTGGATTCCGGATATCTCTGGGTACTTTTTGTAAATCTTTGATTCCTAAATCAATTAGAACTCGTAGGGAGATTAGCATGTCACCTTGATGAATTCCAAACTATTTATAAGAGTATATAAATGAATAAATGATGCACAACATCAAAGTATTTATAACAAAAATTCCCGCATAATCTACGATGGATCTAAATTCAGAAAGAATAGACCTTGTTTAGAATAAAAAAAAAAAAGAAGAATTAAAAGAAGGAAAAATACTATACCTCTAGCACCCGACTTCTACCTCGGTCTTGTCTCCTCCCAATTTCAGCCACGATGGCACCGTAATCGCAACGTCGGGACAATCGTGCCAGCAGCTTACTCCTTAGTCACGGTTGATTGGAGGAAAAGACATCGATTGGATCGGATATCTCTCGATTGCTGAATACTCGCTCGCGGAGATCTTTCCATTCTTGTTGTGCAATTCGAGCTCGACTGTGCCCAGGTTGCTAGAGATCTACATCGTACTCATTGACATCGATTGAGGAAATGTCAGCCGGTGATGACACAGGCGCCGATTAGAGAGGGGAAACGGAGGGTTTGCTTCTGTGGTTTTTGTGGGTAGAATTTTTGGGAAGAGAAAATAAAAGACCCCTTGCCATAGAAAGAGAGGTTAAGCCAAAAAAAAAAAAAAAAACACGAAGGGGAAAAGAGGGGGAAAATAAGGGGGGTAATTTTAGGCAAAAAATGAGTGAATTTTCGAAAAAAAAAAAAGCGGGATAGATTCAATTTTCCGCCAACATATAAGGCTTTAAAATTAATAAAATTAAAAACACAGTTAAAATGAGTTGTTTCTTTTATGGTTATTATGGATTAATTAACAACTATAATTCTCTCTTTGGTTTTGAAAATTCAATTATCATGCAATTGAGTTACTACTAAAATTATTGTCCAGTTTAGGTTTTTATTTTTACTTTAAATTGTATTAAATGTAAAAATTTAAATTAGACAATAACTCTTATTGAAATGCACTTCAAATTGGAAGCACATTTTTGTTAATTCAATTACTCCCTCCATATCGTTTTATATGTCGCTGGAGTTAATAATCTCAAATTTTTCTTAATATAAGTCGTTCTCACATTTCTAAGTGTTTTTTACTCATTTTTTTCCAATAATGCCCTCAATCAAAGCAACCGAATATATTTATGTGGTCTTCATTTTTCAAGGGGTTTTCTTACTCCTTCCACTGTAATCCTATTTCACAAACCTCTCCCTTCATTCAATAATTTCTCCAATTCTCAAAGATTGAATTCAACTACCCAAGTCTTTCAATATTCTCATATCAATATGGCGGGAAATAGGAGATTACAAGGGGTTTTTAATCCGTCAATTCTCCAGCCGCCCCTGTGCAACAAAAAGGATGGAAGCGCGAAAGGAATCAACCAAAGGTTCAATCGTGAAGAGTTGCTTAGAAGTGAGGAATGAGAAGAAGCCTAAGGATTTCGATTTGAATCTTCCGGCCGGTATGGATTTTGATTTGAATGAATTATTGGACGCTGAGGTAGGTTTTGATTTGAATGCATTACCAGACGAAAAAGAGGGAGAAGTCAGTCTTGAAGAACAACAAATTCAAGATCATATCAGAACTCAAAAAATGGCTTTAGATCCCATAAAAACTATGTTGAAAATTTATTTTCCATATCTATATAAAGATTAGTTTGTAACGTAGTTTTATCATTTGATGAGAAGTTTGGGTTGGTTGTATTGATCGGTTGCTTTTGTTAGCAACTGAATGGGTTCTACTTTGGTTGAGATTTTTTTTTCTTTCCAAACTATGTTGTTCTTGTAAATTCAACAACTTACAAGAATGGTTAATTACTTAATATGCTCGACACCGTGTTTGTGCCTTTTGTGGTCAATTTAGTTATGTTTTCTTGCTTGGGGTCTATGTATGCTCCGAAGTTCTTTTGCCTCAAAATTCAAGTTCTGTGTTTGCTCCGTAAATTTAAATGTATTATAATGGGTTAGATTGGGGAAGTTGAATTCTTTGAAAGAGTTGGAGCTGAGTAGATTACCTTCTAAACCATATTTGGTTACTGGTTTTTGGTGGCATTGCTGCTATGAAGAGCTTGACTAAACTCTCTGTTTGTCATTGTTTTTTAGGATTCCTATTTAATTTGAACCAAACATTGCTTCTTGTTCCTTGCTCACTTGATCATAGAATTTCTTTTGATCATGTGGAGGACAAATGGCACATGAATTTCAATATATTTGTTCATTGAGCAAGTGTGTGAGAGCCACAAAAATCTGTTAAATTTGTTGTAGAGGTGTGAAAAAATTTGCCCCATCACTTTGAAGATTATTTTTTGAACCATGCAATTCATGTATTTTCATGACCAGAGTTATAGGACTGGACACTCAATCTTCTTTTTTCTTCCTCTCTGTCATGTCTGAGCATTGCATATCAATGGTGGGAGATGATGATCGGTGGGGAGATTTGTGCTTGAGCAGCTGGGATTTCTAATCGCCGAAACTAAGGAGGAGAGTTTTGTTTGAAAATTTTCAATTAGATGAATCAGATTTTTACATTAAACCAGCTAGCCCTGCTACTATGTTGATTTGAAACAACAATTCTTTGACGCGTTTGCAGTTTTATACTCATGCTTTAGCCCTATACACCAAATGTAAGAAAGGTTAAGGCTTAAGCCAAATAAAGGAAATGAAGATAAGGCAACAGAGGAAGAGAATAAAAATTGTTCTAGAATTATCCAAATCCTTGGATGATTGCTACGACGAACCGTGATCAATCTTAAGGCATCATAAATTTCAAAAAAAATAAAATTAAATTGGAATAGTCCAGGTTAAGGCTTTGAGGAAACTTTGAGATCAAAATCCTTCACCAAAACCATGAATGAATTTCAATTGTCAAGCACGTGCAGATATAACCTCTGTATGAATGAACATACAACAAAAACAAAAACAGAAAAAAAAGAAGGAAAAATGGACAATGCAAATGTTCTCAAGGTATCAAGAGCTCAATTTCACATCACGCTAATGCTGAGAAATGGCATTGAATCAAGAGCTCAATTTCACCTTCCAGGTTGAAATACTATTTGAATTCTAGTAGCTAAGAATCATTCGATATCCACCTGTTATGTATAGCTTTTCCATTTTATTTCCATAGTGGAATTACTTGCCGGAAGTTGAGAAAATGGCATCATCTATGAAACCTTCTTCTAATTTGGTGGATTAAAGATGAAAAAAATAAATGATCGCACTAAGTTTGCATTCAATAGGAGACAAACAAAGTAGAGAATGACATTCTAAATGGCTACTACATTCAAAAGACTATCACTATGATAGTTCTTTTATAAAAAAAACAAACGGAGAGTTTGCATAATTCTTAGCTTAAATAACAAAATGAAAACTAATCTTGACTTAATATTTGCCTAACTCTTGCAACTAAAGCAGCATCACAACTTTAATTGAACAGGAAGCATGCCTAATCTTTCGAGCTTTGCTTTGTGAATATGTGGTGGATCACGTTTGTGGGCACCTTCTGCTTTCATGACTTTAATCATAACCAACTATAGTATTACAAAGATACGGTTTGACTTCACAATACAAAATTCCTCAAATGCCTCATAGACTGCACGCACTAGTTCATCCACTGTCCTAGGAGACTTTTTATTTTTTAAAGCCTGAATTGCAACAAAAAATCCAAGGTCTAAAACATTCAAATCTGGAGAGTTTGAAGGTTGGCAGATGATCTGGATATTGAATCCGCCTTGTCTTGCTGCCTCACAAAAATCAGCATCATCAGGATATATATGTGTCCTTGCATTGTCTTGCTGGATAAATATTGGATGCATTATGTCCTCTCTCGGCCACTTTTCCCTAATAGCCGGTAACACCTTTTCGATCATAAATTTCCTGTACACACCTCTTCCTACTGAAGTAATCGGTTTTGTCTCCAGAGTATCTGCAGGTCTATTAACACTTCTCCTTTTTGTTGGTTCTCGAGTGACTAAAGCCCAACAACCAATTTTTCCGGAGAATGTTACATTGCCCTGTGCGTCAAATCTTGGCTGAGCTATGGCAGTTAAAAACATAACCTTTTGAATAAAATTTTTGTTCTTAACTGTACGAACTGGACCAGGCTCATTAGGCAATAGGTAAATGGTTAAAGCCATATTTGTCATATTGAACCATTTCTCATCAACATGAACAACATTATACATACCTTTGAATTTTGGTTCGTCTGGTAAGCTACTCTCTTCAATCATTGATATGCAAAATTGTAAGCGAGTCTTTTTATTTTTATCCGTCACATAAGGCTTTAGAGTATTCAATTCTCACCGTAAAGCTCCAGAATTTAACAATTTATAGGCTTTAGTCGTGCTAATATTCAATTTTGAAGCCAAAGACTCAAGAGTTGTCCGCTCATGGTAGGGAATATCGCGAACCCGATCAAGATCAATCTGAATTCTTTTTCGCCCACAATTCGATGATTTTCGGCTTGATACATCGCCCGTAGGAGAGTTCTTTAATTGTTTCCAAATTCGTTGTACAGTGTGAATGTTAACTGAAAAAGCTGATGCTACCTCAGTTGTCACCCATCTTTGCAATTTTCCATCAACACTTTTTTTGTAGAAACATATTATATATAACTCTTCGTTCCTCATTCGTGAGAATCCTCCTTTTCTTGATGACGACATCTCCTAGGTCATGAACAAAAAATAAAATAAAAATTTGTAACATTGCATCATGGAAAAATCAATGAGGAATATAAGCGATGAAGAAAAACAAGCCAAGTCTCAAAAACTAGCTCATGTAGGATTATGTTGTGATATAAAAAAACAATCATCATTGACTAATCATCATTGACTAACGGAACCTAGAGTCAAAAAAAAAAAAAAACTAACGGAACCCAAAATTATCACCAACATGGTTTTATTTTAACAAAAAAATTTCCGCTGCATATTGTACATTGTATCTACATGTATAACAGCAATCTATGCTCATGTCTGCATTGTTTTAAAGCGAATAGATATTGACTAGTTTGGTTTGTTGGCTTCTTTAAAACATATGCATTTAATCCATTAGATTTTTGCGATTATACTCATCCTCCTTCATATAGGAGGGAATTCTAAATCACTGAATCTATAGCTTATGTGAATGATAAAAATCCTTCAAAATTTCTTATGAAGCACTTAGATAATATCACATGAACTTTCATCAAAGGGGGACATAGGACTAGTTTCTTTTACTCAAAATGGCCAGAATAGAGAACAAGTAGTCATCATCAATTAGTTCAGTTTATCATCAATCTTCATCGTGATTAGTTCAAAATGGCCAGAATAAAGAACAAGCTTGCATCGTGAATTAGTTTTATTCATCAACAATTATCATCGTGGAGTACAAAATTTGTTGGTTTTTATCCTAAAATTTAGAAACCCAAAATCTACAACACAACACAGTATGAAAAAAGAAAAAAACAATATGAGAAAAATAATCGAATTAGAAAAAAAAAAGAGAAAAACATGTACCTTCGTTTGTTCCTTCTTGTTGTTCCGATTGATCATCATTAGCTTCTTGTTCCGATTCTTCATCGAAGTTGTCACCATTAGTTTCTTCAAAACGATCACCATTAAATCCTTGCTCCAACTCTTCTTCAAAGGAATCATCTCCAAGTTCTTCTTCTAACTCTTCAAAGTCGTTAACACAAAATCTCCCTCAAATCCTTCTTCAAAATAATTACCATCACCATCACCATCACCATCCAAATAAACAACCTCTATTTCTTCTATCGGTGGCAAGTTTAAGTTGAAAGGATGTGCACCCTCATCTTCTTTTTCATACGAATCGGATGGAGGACTATTATTGAGATCAAAACACAACTTTTCATGATCATCATCCTCACTTTGTATTAAATTCATCGATTGCTCTCATCTTTTGGTTTCCACAATAAAATCCCAACTATAAATAAGAGAAAAAACAAAATTTCAAAATTTGGAATCAAGCTAATGGCGCTCATTTTTTAAAATAGGAAACCAAATATTTTCCCAAAAAAAAAAAAAAAACATGCCGCCAATTTTTTCTATCATGAAGCAAACTACTTCAACTTCACTCCATGGAGGGAATTTTGATCGTCGGCCGTCAGAACTCCTAGTTCCAATGAGAATTGTGTTTAAGGTTGGAATTGGGATTAGAGTTCTATTTTGAGTAAATAAGGGTTATTTGGTCTTTTAATGTCATTCCTTAAACTGTGTGAAAATCCTTAAACGACATATAAAACGATATGGAGGGAGTACTTTATTTAGACATTTATACTGTAATGTACTTTCCAATAACTAGACTAACTATATCACAACAAATAAACATTCCAATGTTTATAATTCTGTATGTTTCATGTTAGCAACAATTAATAGCTTTGTTAATTTTACATATTAATGACAAATCAGCATTTCACACTGTACTCTAATGTTTCTTACTTTTCTCTTTATCCAACAGTTGATTATAAAAAATCGGATAACACGATAGGAGTATATATATATATATATATATATATATATATATATATAGAGAGAGAGAGAGAGAGAGAGAACAATACAAACATAGTAAATGCTACTCCCTATGTCCTATAATGATTGTCCAGTTTAGATTTTTATTTTTAGCAAAACTTGTACTAAAAGTGAGATTCCAAACTGGACAATAATTTCAGTACGGATAGAGTACTTCAAAATGGGCTTAACATAAATATGTGTATGTATTAATTACTAAATTGTAGTTTGCAAGTCTAATTATTATCATTGTTCTTTTGTGTGAGCTAAGACATAGTAACTACAAACATATTATATAAGACCAATGTAGTTGTGCGTAATAATGGACAAATTTTTGGCGAGAAAGCAATTAAGTATGAAATGCTTGAAGGTGATTAACGTTATGGATAATTTACCATTAAAACAAAGTAGAATTTTAGTTATGAGATTAATCCGTGTAGAAACTGTAGCACAGATTAAAATGAACGTCTAAAGTTCATGGATGAAAAAAAAAATAAATAAAAATGTGTAGTGTTATATAGATGGATGTATCCATACAAGCATATATCATTAATAGATGTTACATATTAAAAAAAAATTCATCGTAATAATGTTACTGGGTAAAAGTATAATTATTGGCGTGTCACTCTACAATTACTATAAGTCTATTAGACTAATATGGAATTTGTTCGATTTATGTGGAAAATTGAATGTTTGTTTTAAATGTCATAATATAGTTATAGAAATTTATAAACTAAATTATAAATACACCATTTGATCCCAATTCAAATGAGGTATGAGCATATTATGAAAGCGGGATACGTATCGTGTATCGGAAATATAGATTTATGATACGCGTATCGTATCGTGTATCGTATCGTAAGATACGTTTGAATATAATAATATCTATAAAAAAATAATAAATATCATAAACTTCATATGTAGTTGATATATTTATGTTTTTTTTTATTTTTCAATTATAAACAAATAAATTGATTAAGTTGAATTCAAAATTATTTGAAAGTTACGCATATTATTTATTCATTATATGAATAATGGTCGTCAAACCTATGTAATAAATATTATTTTTCATAATAATTGTTCTTAAGTCATAAATTTAATAGAGAGAAATTAATATAAACATGTATTGCATTTATTAACATGCTATTAGTTATACTTGATTTAAAAAAGGAAAATGATATTATGAATAAAAAATATTTTTTAACTAATTTTATTTTTTAACTAGAATAATTTATTTATCGATTTTATTGACAATGGAGGAAGATTATGTTTATGAAATAAATCAAAAGTATCTATTTAACAAATTGTAAATGAAATTCGCTCTTAATTTGAAATTTAAATGGTCACAATTTGAATTAATTTAAGAAAAAATTAATTCTTTACCTATGTTTTGTATCGTACGATACACAATCGTATCGTGTATCGTATGTATCGTACGATACGTATACCGATACACAAGCGATTGTGATACATACTATGATACGTATCAAAATCTTTAATTTTGATACGTATCGTGCGATACGTATCGCGTATCGTACAATACTTACTACTATGGGTATGAGATTTTCAATTTCTATGATTGGCAATTGTGCATTTCTATTTGGCCACTTTTATTTGTGATTAATTAAATATACCATAGGTTAATAGGACGTTTTCAAGAGTCCTTATTAGTAATAAATATGAGGACGCTTCTAAGTCTCTCGTAAATTACTCTTTTTGGGACGGATAACTATTATGGGACACATATAAACGTCCTACTAATAATTCATAATAGGATACTTGTAAGCATCACATAATATATTTTTAATGAGACGTTTTTGTCATACGTCCTAATATGTATCTACTAAGACACTTTTACAAAAAGCGTCTCGAAAAAAGCGTCCCTATAGATACTTTTTTTTGTAGTGATATATATATATATATGTGAAAATGATATTCATCTCACCAAATTCACCTCACCTTTCCATCTCACCTTACATGTCAATTATTTATTAGATCATAAATTCCCTGCACTTGGTGCATCACTTCCTACACCAAATTTAAATAACTCAGTTTTAATATTATTTTTGTTATTAATATTGGTCCAATTAATAAAACATTTGTAATATTATAATTTTTTCATTAAGGGTTTACCTTTTTCAGGGTTAGGGTCTATTTATTTTAAACTTTTAGACATAAAAATATCCAAAAAGTCTATAAATCTAATAAAAAAGAATTAAACTTACTAGCCGTACGCTTAATTTCGGCCTCGATCATTTCATAATAAGTGTAACATTATTTCAATAGAATTTTTTTTTAGTGATATCTAATAGTTTTATAAGGATTACTTCACGTAATTTTTAGAAACACAAGTTAATTATGGATTATTTCATACAGAAAAGAAAGGGAAGAAAAAGAAAAGAAAAGCCAAACGTTATTGCACGATGAAATGGTTGTACATGAGAGGAATTTCAGTGCATGCGAGCACGTACAAAGTTTTATTCAAATCCTACTCCCTAAATGATGACACATGATTCCCAATCCGCACCTTCCAACTCAAGTCTCCAGAAACCAATTATTTTCAGTGGATGCTGCAAATTAAAACACACATAAATTCATTAATGTCCACAGAATCCAATATGAAACTCCGTACACTATATTCAAATTGAAAATCAAAAGTATTCATGAATCATGATAGTGCAAAAGGAGATCAAATAGTTGTGGCCTGTGGGCAACCAATTCGATCACAAGATCAATTTGATTCTCTTTTTTTGCTTTCTTTTTAAAGATGCCTCTCTGGAAAGAATTGCCTAATTAACATGTAACTCTCATCGGTATATAAAAAGTCTGATAAGTGATAATCATGCTTGTAAATTAAGTATATACAATATTACTCCCTTCGTTCTAAGATCATTGTACAGATTAAATTTTTATATTCAATTTAAATTTTACGAAAAACAAAAATTTAACTTAGATAATAATTTTCAAACAGAAAAAATACTAACGAAATAATTAATGGTCCGTGTTACAGAAGAGATTCTCTTATGTGGAAGGACCAACAACAAAACCCGAAGTCATGGAGGGATTAAAACAACTTACGTCTCACAATTGGTCTTGGAGGAGACAGGGAAACCAACATTGATGTGGCAAGCACCAGGGATTTTGCTCAAGAAAGCATCCTGAACTCCACCACCAAAGCTCTTGACACCATCCTTCAGGCATCGGCAAACCGCCTTCTTGTCATCCACGCTCTTCACACTCTGAGCTACCCTCTGGAGCCCCTGGCAACAGGGCTTAGACGGGACGGGTCCCGCCTTGCCCTGAACAAACAAGAGGCACGGTGCCGCGCCCGAAACCACCGTCCCGCAGCTTATGGCAGCTGCATTGCTCAGATGAGAAGCTGCAAAGACAAGGGAAAGGACCAGCAACGTTGAGAAGATAATGCTCTTCTTCATCATGGTTGTGTTTTTTTCCTTTTTTTTTGGAAAGAAGTTTATATGGTTTTTTCTTTTTTGGGGAATGACTTATGTTGGTGTTTTGAGTGCAGGGGATCTGTGAGGATTTATATAGGGAAGAAATTGGCTAATCTTGAACTTGGGAGAGTGTGGAGTTTGATAATCCCTAGGTGGATTGATTTGATGATCTAGATAGCTTTATTTTTTTTCTTTTTTGGGATTACAAAAATACAGTATCATTTGGGTTCAGTCTCTATAACGAGTGCAGATAAATCTGCATGAGGATGAACTGCATGTATTGCTATTAGTTCATTGAGACTGTTTCCTACTTTCCTTTAGCTTCTGTCACGTAGATTTATGAATAATAATGTACTACGTCCGTTCCAAAAAAAATAATTCATATTGAATTTTTAAATTTGTTGTACTAAAAACAATATAAAATTCAAAATTCAATGTAGACTATTTTTGTGGGACGGGAGAGTATTTTATTTCTGTGAGTGGAGTACATAGGCGATACAATTCTGTGGCCATAACGACTTAAATTAATACTCTTGGGATTATTTTATCTTTTTTGGGAGCATTTTAAAATTTCGTAGTAGTAATTTTCCGAAAAAGTTTCGTGTGTAGATTTACGAGTATCATTCTTGTTGGTAAATGACAGGTTCGTTAATCACCTTAATATCAGTTGTGAGCATTCGACAGTACTTCAGATCCTTTGAAATTTTAAATCAAATCAATGCAGTTGCCCGTAGCTAGTTAAGAAGAATTGTATCACACATAGTATAAATTAAAGCCACATTCTATTTCGGATTATTTGACATTAATTTAGAATTTATCATTGGAATTTCGATCGGCAAGTTACGAACCACCTTATTTTCTTAAACTTTGTGTTAGTTATGATAATATACTTGGTCAATATATATATATCCGATTGCTAAATTTCCCTTTAGACTTTTATAAACTACTATATATACTCGTATTTCTTTGTTAAAGAAAGGTTGATTATTCTCAATACAAGAGTCTTGGTAACAAAACTGTGGTTAATGAGAATGGCTAGACGTCAGAGTTCAAATCTCATACCGAGAATCCAATTCAAAAAGGAAAAGCGATAGTATAGAGAGTTTCGGAAAAGAAGAAGAAGAAAATTATCGTATGTCAATTGAATGTTTGAGTGAAATCGCACTTCGTATATTAAATAATACTAGTATTATGCCCGTACGTTGTGCGAATTTTACTACATTTTAGAGTAACAGTAATATACTATTATTTTTCTATGAAAAGTGTCATATGTTTTAGTTTTTCCGTTTTTTGGTATATTAAGCATTCGGAGTCCAAATTCAAGAGTGTCGTATGTTTTTTTTTTCTTCAATTTTCGTATATAGTGTATCTGGTGTTCGAAATTATTGTTCTAACTAATGCGTCTTTGAATCGGGTAGGTCACTTTTGGAAAACAAACCTCTTTCAACACCCATTACTACATCCGCATGCACAGATTTAATCATGGATTGTAGTTAACTTGGTCCAATATTGTTATCACGTTGATCAAGTACTTCTTAGCCAAATAGGATATTTTAAAATACAAATTAATATGTTCAACTATCTAATATGTTTCTTGTTTAGGAGTGTTAGTATATAAAAAAATTCTAAATATGAATTAATATGATCAATTGTCTACTATCCTACTTTTTTAGGGATATAAGTATATAAAAGTTATTTTCAACAATAGAAATTAAATAATGTATATTCTTAAAATATATTGACTGAAAAACATATATTGTTTACTTGTAGTAATTAAATCAAATAAATAATTTTTTTAGGCATAAAGCAAAAAAAAAAAAAAAGAAATTCCAACAAAAGTAAATAAATCACAAAAAATAGGAAAAAAAACCATGACAAAAAAAACTAATAAATAATATTTGAAATGCTTATCTATACTCCAAACTTATTTCTTAGTTTTTTTTTTAATAGCAAAACAGGTTGTGCCTGGCGGGTGCAAACTCAACTCGCGATATTGCCAGGACAATTTTTAGCTTCCAAAACAAAAATATTATTTTATTGCCTAATTTGCCCCCTGAGATGAATATTGTCCACGCCAATTGTTCCATCTCTTATCTCAAAATTCTTCTCCACTCTCTTTCTAAAATTTCATTAATCTCTTATCAGACTAATCAATTTGGATACAGAAAATCACGACCTCATTTTAGTTTTTGAAGAGAGGCCTTTGAATTGAGAACTTCACTTTAAATCATGGAGCGAAAAGGTTTCATCTTTGTGAGAAGTATCGAATTGCAGGATGGGGTTTCAGATCTTCTTTCGCTTAATCCTAGCGGCTGCAATATAAAACTGAAAAACTGAATCTTCTTTTTCTCTGCGAAATTGCATCAGATTCTTTTATTATCTGAGGGTTGATTTGGTGAAGGTAGAAAAAGTTGATTAATGGTATTGGGTAACCAGTGAATTCTGATTGAAGGGGGAGACCCATCAATTGCAAATAGGTCAGTATTGGGCAATCATTCTCATCAAAGCTGATGTTTTTAAGATTTGGACGAGACATTGCAGATTAGCAACTCCTTTAAATTAAAATCGAGATAAAGTATGAAATAGATTTTTTTGGACCAATCTTTATCTGGGTTTCATCAAATATCATTATCCGCAGAAAACTATTGTTCCAAAAATAAATTAAAGTCATCAAAGTTTTGCCAAAAAGAAGTTTCCTTTGGCATTGTCAGACATGGATGTTTAGGACACGCGAGTTGTGAAAAGTAGTGGTTTTCTTTCTCCAGTTCTATTATCCAAATTGCAGTATTATTAGGAGAAGAAAATTCCGAGTCTTGATAGCCGGAGACCATAGTTGTATACAGTACAGGTGCTGGTGGGACGGAATAATTGGGTTGGCCTCGAGGGGCAAATTAGGCAATAAAATAACTTTTTGCCCTGAAAACTAAAAATTGCCTGGGCAATATCGCCAGCCGGATCCATTTTATTTATCTGGATTCATAACTTTTTCCTTAGTTATGAGTGCTTTTCGAGGTACTTATTCTTTTGCCATCACGGTGCCACACTTCTCCTGTAAAACCAAAACACATAGATAATCATGCACTTAAAGTAAATATATTTAACTATTCATATCTCAAATAAAGTATATATTTACTTTCATACTCTAGTGAATGAACAATTTTGTTTTAGTCTACCTGGCTCCTTTAGACCGAGATTGATGCATACTATTTTTTAGCTTAACCCATTGAAATTCTACAATAGCAACGGTGCAAAACATACCAAAATGAGACCCCCGTGATTGTTTAAAAATAAAACCATCAATACTCATAAATATTTTTCAAAGACATACAACAGAAATAATCCTTAACATGAAAAATATAATGCATGTCCTAAAAATGATGCCTCCTCTCCAGAAAAGAAAAAGTATGTCAGTAGTACTAAAATTTTCCTTATAATGTTGAAGTTTAAAATGAAACATAAAATGATTAGTTAATAGTTCAAAACAAAGGGAAAAAAATTATGTATATTTTTTTCATTGATGAACCTTTTGCAATTAACGACTACAGTCCCTATTATTAATCATAAATCAGATAGAAGGTCGTCCACAAGTATCCACACTGGAATAAACTAACAAACAAGCCAAATTAAGAAATCAAGTGAAATTCTAACAATCACTCTAAATATTGAGTTAATAATATTAAAGTACAACTTACCATGTCAATTGAAACTCATCATACTCCCTTTTCGACCAACAAATGAAAAATATCCATCTAAAATTACAACTCAACAAAGAAAGATGCCAATGTCTATCTTTCCGACAAAAAAAAAAGATTCAGATTGAAGGGGAGGAGGGAGGGGGAAGAGATAGAGGACGAAGGGAAGGGAAGAAGAAGAGGGAATCAGAACGTAACCTTTTTATTTTTTTTAAGTGACTAATCTTTATTATTTTTGAAAAATATATCAAATAGAATTATGTAAAAAATATATTAACCTACGTTTAACTTATTCAGATCTGATTGTAAATTGTATTGTAAGAAAAATTATTTGGTACTTATCTCTTTTTATTTTTGGTAACCCAACTCTTTTTGTTTTTAAAAAATACATTAAATGGAATTATCTTCAAAAAATAATACTAACCAACATTTAATGTGTCCAGACTTAGTTTCGAGTTGTATTCATAATCTACATAAAGATTTGATAACTAAGTCTCTTTTATTTTTGATAACTAATCTTTTTTTTAAAAAAAATATATCAAATGAAATCATCTGAAAAATTATATTAATCTATGTTTAATGCATCTAGATTTGGTTTCAAATTGTATTTATAATATAATATTTTATAACTAATCTCTTTTTATTTTTGAAAAATATCTCAAATGGAATCATGAAAAATAATGCTAATCCAAGTTTAATGGATATATACTTGGTCCCAATTGTATACGTACGTAGTATAATCATTTGCTAACTAATCTCTTTTAATTTTGTTAATTAAACTCTTTTTATTTTTGAAAAATATATCAAATGAAATTATTTAAAAAATAATATTAGAATAAGTATGATGTATCTAAACTTGATTTCAAATTGTATTCGTAATATAATGATTTGGCAACTAATCTTTATATTTTTTATAACTATTTTTTTAAAAAAAATATATCAAATGGAATCATTTAAAATAATACTAATATACATTTAATATATCTAGACTTAGTTTTAATTGTATTTGTGATATAATAATTCGGTAACTAATCTATTTATTTTTGTAATTAATCTCTTTTTATTTTTGGAAATATATCAGATAAAATGTTTTGAGAAATAATATTAATCTACAGTTAATGAATCCAGACTTGGTTTTCAAATTGTATTCATAATATAATTATTTGTGTAACGACCCAACTCACCTATCTGTCATTATGCGTCATGCTTAACTACGAGTCGAGCCGTCCGCCGGGCTCTCGCTCAAGGCGCAATACTTTTATCTACTTTTAATATAAATTCTAAACAATGTCTTAACATTGTCACTAAAACCTATCTTATCTCATATTACGCCCTATCAATAACAACGCTTCTTGAACACAGTCTTGCTTCGCTTGGTCTCATCTGCATTAATTCTAAACCTGGGAGTGGGATAAGGGAATAAAATATAAAAAGGGGGTGAGCGCCGAGCTCAGTGAGGTTCTCACTATACTAGTACGATACTTTTAATAAAACTGCTTTCGTAAAACATATTCAATATAAAATAATTTCACATAGAATTATTCAACAATCAACTATTTCACATTAAGTAATTAACAATA